GGTCTTCAGGGGGCTTTAGGGCGGCTGCGTCTGTGTCCCTTTGGGCTCAGCCAAGCCCAAATCCACTTCTCTCATTCATGAAAGGGTTACAACAGAGGTCAAATCACCACTTTTCACTCCCTGCGAATAACACAAGCCGTGCGTGAGGGATGGTTTATGTAGGCGTAGATGAAACTGTGTATTTTAGGTGTTTTTTTTGGTCATGGTACTTTCTTGGCACGTATTAACTGCCTGAAAGCTCAGGCGCGCAAAAGACAGTGAAAAGATGCTGTGAGTTTTGCTTAGGGGAGGTTGGTTAGCACAGAAGACGAGTAAGGTCGGTGCTGTCAAACTCGAAATGAGGAGCTTCTCATTTTCGATTAGCGTCACGGCACACACAATTGCCATCTTTTTATATGTTGTGCGGCTCCCAGCACTGGTGCTTCTCATATAGCCCCAAATCTACAATCCACAACTGCTCCTTTCTTCTCCTCCCCAGTCCACCCTTATGCCCTAACCTTTGGCTCTGGGTGTCTGTTTAGCACAGGGATAGAGATGTGGAGGGTGAGGGAGACTGACAGTGTGCGCTCACCTACTTCGTAAATATGAACTGCACCCAACAGACAGCCTCATTTATCACAAGGGAAAGAGTGCGGGAGGGAAGGAGAGAGAGAGAGAGAGAGAGGGAAAAGGGATAACCGTCTGGGACGATGTGGCCTCAGCTAGCAGGAAGAGAGTGCGGGGATGAGAAACACGAGAGTAAGGAGGGGAAGACAAGAATAACACAACAACTCAAGCGAGTGCAGGAGGAGAAAGACAACAAGCAGACGTGGTGTTTAGAGGAGTCAAATAGTGGGATCAAAAGGATGTAGTTAGAAGAGAGGAGATGTGGGAAAAGATGCAGGCCTACTGAAATACTCTGAGTGAAGAGGAGAGAGCAGAGACCTGACAGTTTGATCAGATGAAGTGCTTAAAATCAAAAAGCATTTGTGATAATTCTGTAGATCTGAGCAGATCATAAGAGAATAAGGCAAAGTGAGATCGAAAGGAATGACTGTAGCTGTGCCTGGGGCTGGTGTA